GTTAAGAATCTCTATTGCTCATTCTAAAATATTTCAACACTATGCTGTAGCTCAGTGCTTCATGAGCTGGATAACAGGACCCGTCTGGGAACTTTTTTCCCCATATATCTGACATATTCCTCCACACTGTCAACATTAGCAAATTATACTGAATTGTACCACTGTCTGTATTGAGTCTCATTAGTTGAACAGTATTACAAGGAGGGTATGAGTGCCATAATTAGGAATAAATTAAGAATTATCCTGCACTTCAGGGTTCATAAAAATACATCCATAAGATTGTATAGGATGGATCTATGACAGTTAAGGTGGCTTCAAACTGCATTATTTGAAGTGTGGATGAATCGTAGGACTAGGGTCTGAATCCCTGTTTGGCTATAGAAATCTACTGAGTGACCCTGGGCAAGATATATTATTTCAGTCTCCGAGGAAGGCAAGGGCAAACTCCCTCTGAACAAATTCTGCTAAGAAAATCCCATGATAGATTTGCTTTAGAGTTGCCATAAGTAAGAAATGACTTGAAGACACACAATAACAACCATTGTGAAGATTTAAGAGCCCATTCCTAAGCACATGCACTTAGAATCATAAACAGAATCATAGACTTGGAAGAGACCACAAGGGCCATCTAGTCCAACCCCCTGCCATGCAGGAACTCAAAATCAAAGCATTCCCGACAGATCGCCATCTAGCCTCTGTTTAAAGACTCCAAAAAAGGGGACTCTACCACTCACCGAGGGAATGTGTTCCACTGTCAGACAACATTAGATTCCTAATGTTGAGGTGGAATCTCTTTTCCTGTCGCTTGCATCTGTTGTTCCGGGTCCTATTCTCTGGAGCAGCAGAAAACAAGCTTACTCCCTCCTCAATACGACACCCCTTCAAATATTTTAAACCCCTCTTAACTGTCTCTTCTTTAGGCTAAGCATACCCAGTTCCAATGGTTTCCAGACCTTTCACCATTTTAGTTGCTCTGGACACGCTCGTTTTTCAAAATCCTTTTGGAATTTTGGTGCTCAAAACTGGACACAGTATTCCTGGTGGGGCCTGACCAAAGCAGAATACCGTGGCATTATTACTTCCATTGATCTAGATACTATACTTCTATTAATGCAGCCTAAAATTGTATTGGCCTTTTTAGCTGTGGCATCACACTGTTGACTCATGTTCAACCTGTCATCTACTTGAACTCCTAGATGGTCTAATAGAACTCCTAGATCCCTTTCACACGTAGTCTTGTTAAGCCAGGTGTCCCCCATTCTATATCTATGCATTTCTCCGTGTTGAAATTCATTTTGTTAGCTTTGGCCCAACTTTCTAATCTATTAAGGTCATTTTGAATCTTCATCCTGTCCTCTGGGGTATTAGCTATTCCTCCTAATTTGGTGTCATCTGCAAATTTTATAAGCATGCCTTCTATTCTTTCATCCAAGTCATGTTTAGACTTAGGTTCCATCTCCAAGAATGACTTGATAAAATGACTTGATAAAGATGTTGAATAGCACTGGGCCCAGGACAGAGCCCTGTGGCACCCCACTGGTCACTTCTCTCCAAGATGAAGAGGCGCCATTGCTGAGCACCCTTTGGATTTGGTCAGTCAACCAATTACTAATCCACCTAAAAGTTGTACTGTCTAACCCGCATGTTACTATCTTGTTTGCAAGAATATCATGGGGAAACTTGTCAAAAGCCATACTGAAATCAAGATATGCTATGTCTACCGCATTCCCTTCATCTACCAAGTTGGTAATTTTATCAAATTACCACTTAAAATCAAATGAACAAACTTTTCTGCTACATCCCTGAAAACCTCTGTCTCTTCCATTAGATTTGGGCTGCCACTTTGTTATAGCACAGAAATTCTCTACTTTTAAGATCTGCTTAATCATATGTTGGATCAGATGGAACTTTAACTTAATGCAGTAACAGAAGCTTTTATTAATATAAAACTCATGGTTCAGTTATGGCTTTATCAGGACAGCCTAAATGCTGTTGAGGCTTACAAACGTTGGAGTTGTGCAAAACTCTCCATTAGGACAGTACAAAAAAGTAGGGAGAAGAAACAGAACAGTTCAAAAATAAAGTAAGATGACATGGCCATGTAACCTATAGTTGTACTCAGTCCCAAAAGGGAGACTTCACATTAAAGAAATAGGTGTACAAGTATCCAGTTTCCAGTTACACATAATACGTCATCACCAGGTCAGTTTCATGGCAAGAACTAGAAACAGAGCTCTTTACAGGTTTAGTCTCCCTTCTCTGCAATGCTTAGGACCAGAGAAGCTTTAGATTTAGGATTTTTTCAGATTTTGGAATATTTGCATATGGGGTGTGTGTGTGTGTATGTTGTGTGCCTACAAGTAGTTTCTGCTTATGGCGACCCTAAGGCAAGCTTATCATGGGGTTATCTTGGCAAGATTTGTTCATTGGAGGTTTGTCATAGCCTTCCCGAGGCTGAGAGCATGTGACTTGCCCAAGGTCACCCAGGGGGTTTCATGGCCAAGCAGGAATCTAACCCAGATCTCAAGAGTTGTAGTCCAATGATCAAACCACTATGAGTCATTTTGTCATATCTTGGAGATGGAACCTAAGTCTAAACATGAAATTCATTTGTTTTGTATATATCATG